ATGAAAATTCTTGATATCGATTAAGAATGTGATTTCAGGTTTTTGTGTCTTGACTTCGTAATAGAGTTTATAATCGATCAGAACACATCTATATTCGTTCAATTTTAACTTTGGTTTATCAGGGTTTGTAACTTTGATCCAATCGATAGCATGTTCGAAGTTTTTGAATTTCTCTGACCAGTTTGACATTTCTTGTTGATAAAAATAATAAACCTGAAGAACGAAAAAGCGCAGAGCATCGTTCGGATTAAAAAGTGGCAAGTAAGAGTTAGTATAACAAGCGAAATTATATTTCAGACATATATACAAGTTGGGATTCTTCTCTTACTTGTTAAATTAGTTAAGTATAAAGTTAATTTTGTGTTTGGTTGAATCTTGTGATTTTGCTTCAGTAGTTTTATTTTCGACCGTATTTGTTATAACTTTCAACTTGGCCTCATAATATTTTTTATATTCGATTGCACGGTTCAGAACAGATTTATCTTCATGATCTTCAGCTTTTTGTTTTTATATTTTTAATATACCTATGAGTTTTGAGATTTTTCATAATATATGTTTTCAAAACCAGAGGTGTTTGTATTTAACATTTTCCTAAACTACTTTTGGGAGCAAAGTATTTATATAGTTTTTTGTTTTGATACGCAGTAAATTATTGCTGTGGCATGTGATCTAAATGAATTAAATTCCTTTTTAAAAATAACATTTAATTACTGCGGTTATTAAAAAAAATTAATATATAAAGGGTGTAGTAGCACGAAATAAATACGAACAAAAATAGAAAATTCAGAACAATGACAAAAATTTCAAGGAAAACAAGATTTACTAGGTTCATGTTTACGATTTTCACAGACGATTTACAAAAATATAAAGAATTAATAACTGAAAATGTTGACAAAAAAAATATTCGATATATAGTTTTTCAATATGAATATACTAAAACAAGTAAAAAACATATCCAAGGTTTTTGTATGCTATGGACACAATTGAGATTGGGAAATTATAAATATGGTAAAAAAGCTTCAACGATTAAAAGTATTTTTCAAGACAAAGAAATGCACGTTGATTATCATAATGGAACGTTTGAAGACGTGATTAAATATTGTAAGAAAGATAGAAATCATTGTTCAAAACATCATCCTTTTTGTAAGTGTGATTTTTTTGATTTAACAAAAATATGTGACAAATGTAATGAAAGTTGTTTGGAATTTCGAACATTCGCGCGCATTGATGATAATTCCGGTCCCTTTGAATTTGGAGAATTGCCGAGAAATAATAACGTAGAAGGATTCAATCAACATTTAGAAGAACAAAAAAAAATACATAAACAAACAATTGAAGATATCAAAGAACAAATCAACCCGATAAATAAAATTGTTATAGATGCTTTTGTTAATTCGGGAACAGTACCGCATATTATAAAAGAACTTTACAACATGATTCGAGATAGTCAAAAGAAATCGTTCAAAAGATGCTTCACTCCATGCAATATCTATATTTATGGTGACTCGAGAACTGGAAAGGATTACTTGACACAAATACTTTTCTCTGATGCATATCACAAGTTGCAAAATGACGGAATATGGTTTCAAGGATATGACGAAAATAAAGTTTTCGTGTTTGATGATTTTTATAATCATAACATGGAATTTTCTACTCTATTGACATTAATCGATAACAAACCACACACTGTGCAGAAAAAAGGCGGGTATCTGAACTTTTGTTCATTTGTAAATATATTCACATCAAATACATCTTTGCGAAATCAATATGTCTATTTCGAAAATACCCCATATTTTGGAAATGAGACTGTTAAAATAGAAAACAAAAGAAAATATTCTTCAATTTATAATCGATTTGACTATATTATTGAGTACAAAAAGTTTAGAAATAATGATGTACGTCCTTGTGTATTTGAGTGTCTTTGTTGTTCAGTAAAAAGAATTTTTCATAAGGGCACATATGAAGATTTTGTCAATCTTCAATTTGATATTGAGTTCAACTCAGATATAACTCTCGAACAAATTGTATATATAATCAGAGATCATAATTCAATTGAAGAAAGTAATGGTATTAGATATTACAACCATAATTTTAACTCACAAGTTGAAAAGTTTGAATTAATAGACTATAGAATTAAGAATGATAAACATGTTGATACGATCGTATATCCTAAAGTAAGAAGAAAATTAGAAAATAGATCACATAGAACTAAAAGAAAAAAAATACAATTCAAAGGTTATGTCGAGAATAAAATTGATTATGTAATTAAAGATTTAAATAATGATGAAAAATACGATTCAGATGCATCAATATCTTTATTGTCTTCTAACGATTCTGAAACAACAAGACGTAGAAAAAAAGGAAAAACTGTTTTGTAAAGAATTTAAAATAAATAAAAAATATGACTAAAGATTTACAATTTAAATTTAATTTGTTAACAAAAAATTAAGAGCTTTATTGAATTTTGGTTTATACAGAACTATTACATCATCAGTTGTTTTAAGAACTTCTAAAATAAAAATACATTTACGTTTACAATATTTAAATGCTGCTCTAGTAATTCTCGTATTTCTTGCAATATATCTAATATTATTTTTTACTTGAACACCTTCTTCGAGATCGTCTTCAACAACTTTTTTAACATGCTTCGACTGAATTTTCTTCTTTGGTTTCAAGATACGGCCAATACAAAAACGGTCGTATTGACTTAAAGGATTTGATTTACCAAAGACATGATAATATTCAGAGAACAAAAACTGTGAATCAGAG